CAGCAGAGCTCCCAGCACGCACTGGGAGACAGCAGAGCTCCCAGCATGCACTGGGAGAGGTGGTTCTGGGCTCTCACCGGCCTTGGACAGGACTCTGGTCCGGGAGTCCTCCAGGATCCGGACCCGTAGCGCCAGGTGGTCCGCTGGGCTGCTGAGCCGAGGTCTGCCGGGCCGCCGGCCTCCAGGATGACCTCTGACCTGAGCCGACCTGCAGCGGGACGACAGAAGGTGAGCTCTGATTGGCCGGAGGGTTCAGAGGTCAAATCTAGAGGCGGGTTAAACTTTTGGACACTTTAAAATCAGACAGATAATCTGTGGAAATATTTTTTTAGCTTCTGCAAACAGCAGAACTAAAAACCTCAGAAGCGACCAATCAGATTGAGGAGGCGGGGAAACATTATGACATCATCAACAAGAGTCTTTGCTCTTATTACAGACTCACTATTTGACCAGTTCTTGTTGTTTTGTTGGACCAGCCCGGTTCTGGTTCTGTTACCTTGATGGGATCTCGTAGTCCGGGTCCGTCAGGTCTTCTTGTTTCAGCCTGGAGGTGTCTATTGGCTCTTCATCACCACCATCGTCTTCATCATTCAGCGGCAGACCCTCCGCTCCATCCACACCTGAACCCAGCAGTTGGTCTGATTGGCTGAAGGTTCTGGTTCTGGTTCTGTGTGAACCAGTGAGCTGCTGCTGCTCCTCTTCCTCAACGACGACCTCCACTTCCTGGGTCGGCACATCTGGCCGCAGCAGACGAGGCAGAGACACAAGAACCAGAGTAAAACTATTTCAACGTGTTTTTACTACAGTAAAAGTAAAAAGTATTTGTTAAAAAAAATCAACTCAAGTATTGATCAAAACGTCCTTTAATACTTAAACATTACAACATCAGATGGACCAAAATCTAAAATGATGTGGACATTTTTTGCATGATAAAGACATAGAAGCTCAATAATTACTTTAAAAAAGATAAAAAATCTCCCACAGGCAGATTATTTCAAGATCTTTTCCCATGTTATCAGTTAACTAGTATATTTTGTTCATATTATGAAATAATTAATTTACAACAGGTTCTTGCTGAAAAGTAAAATTTAAGTAAGTTTGGTCTTATTTAAAGATATTAGCAGTAAAAACTAGACAAAATACTTGGTAAGATTTGGTGTTTTTGCAGTGCAGCAGGTCGAATATACAGAGATTTTACTTCAGAAAGAGCAGCGATAAAGTGCAGTGAAAACATTCCAGAAGCATATATTTTCCCCAAAAAGCGAGTGAAGTAAAGGTGACTAGTTCCTCTCAGAATCCCAGCTGCTCTGAACCAGTAAACCCACCAGCTGTGACTGGTTTCCACTGACCTGCCTGCTGGTCGCCGACCTGCAGCAGCTCCAGCTGCCTCCTCTGGCCGTCGACGTCCCGCCTGAAGCTCGACTCGTCCTCCTGGCTCCAGGCCACGGTCCCCTCCACCGCCGCCAGCACGTCTCTGGCCGCCCGTCTCAGCAGCTCCGTGATCATCGCTCTCAGATTGTAGAATTTAGACACAACGAGTCGCTTCCTGAAATAAAATGTTTTCTGCTGTCAGGAAAAAGTTACAGCTGGAGAAACGGAAACCCGACACTGGAAATGAGTTTATCTGAACACAGAAGAACTTCCTATGAGTTAATCTGAGTTAATCACATGAGAAACTGAAATGAGCTCAATAACTTACATTCTGACATATTTTTTATATTTTTGAAGGAGAATTTTATTTACAGACGTCAGAATCAATTTTATTTCTGGTTTTGTGGTTTATATTTAAAATATCTTCCAGTTCCAGTGTTCATATTCTTCTACTTTATTGGTCTTGCAGAGGGTGAACTTGCATTATTATGCCACTTTATCAATAGATAAATGAAAAATGGTCTAAAAACAATAATATCATTTATGTCAGTAATTATTAGGACAACTAATCCTCCAGTGAATGTTGTTAACATGACAGAACGTTCTAGTAGAAAACAAATATCTCTTTGTAGCAGAGATATTTATTTAAATGTCCTGGAAATATAAACAGCTAAACATCGAGGCACTGGGCCAGGAGTACTTTCTGTGCTAAAACTAAAAATAGAGAACATAAGTTAAAATGAAGATTTAGCACTGAAACACTAAACCAGGAGAACCTGAGAAAAAACAAGAAGACGGCTCTGGATACTGGCAGAGATGAAGTGGAGTTACTACAGTCTCAAACATGAAGGCCTCAGCCCATTAAAACCAGTTACCTTGGTGGTTTCCCATAATGTTTGTCCTTCAGGTGTTCCTGGTTTAGCCTGAAGGTCGTTGCTGGCTCCGCCCCTTCATCAGAGAGGTTCCCAGGTCGACTGTGACTCTCAGCCGCCTCACCTGAACACAACAGCAGCAGCAGAGTTCTGATCTCTGACATGATCCAGTACCTCCAGTCTGGTTCTGGTTCCTACCGCTGGGCTGCTGCTCCTCTTCCTCACCGCCTTCCTCCTCCTGGCTCTGCAGATCTGGGATCAACTTGTTGGCTTTTCAGGCAGAAACAAACAAAACCTGATCAACATCTGACAATCTTCACAAAATGAAGCTAAAAACGGATAAAATAATTCATGGAAGCAAAATGTGAAAATTAAACAGCAAACAGATCAATGTGAGGCAGACAAATCACAGAACACCTGTTATTCTGCTTAATGAGTGTAAATCTCATAAAACTTCAACTTTTTGCTTCCTTTCCCATCAGTCTAAATTATACTAGTTTATTTTGATGTCACTCCTTAAATACATGAAGATCTGAAGAAATTTCATGGGTTGGAAAACTGTTTTGAGGAAGGCATTTCCTCTATTTATGAACTCAAACTTTCATTTTCATAAACAAGTGAATTTAATTTTTTCCCCCAAAACCTTTCCAGATTGAATGCTAACTGAAAACAGAAATTAAGTCAGAATTTCAACTAACTCTGTACATGACGTTAATCTCAAAATACTAAATATAAACTATTAAGAACAATAAACTGGCTAAAATGAATACTTAATCGATTTGATCGATTAATCAAATTTGCTGTTAATATAACTGAAATGGGAATTATTGAGTTTGTTTTAATTTATTTATTGCTTATTGTTCAGTACTAATCACACCTACAACAAAGATATAAAACAGAAACAGAAAACTCCCCCCCCCACCCCCCTATAGGGCTCAGGGCCCCATGGTTCCAAATCTTAAGGACGCACCTGATTCACTATAAATACGTGCCGCTCAACTAAAAATCATCGTATTTATCTTTACTGTGGACCTCCAGTCCACCACTGACCTCCTCTGTGCAGCTTGACCTGCGGCTGCAGCAGCTCCAGCTGCCTCCTCTGGCGGTCGATCTCCCGTCTGAAGCCCGACGCCTCCTGCTCGTACCCGGCCACGGCCTCCTCCACCGCCGCCAGCACCTCTCTGGTCGCCGAGCCCAGCCGCTCCGTGATGATCCCTCTCAGATCACTTGTATTCATGTTTACTCTCTCTCAGACTGATCTCCGCGGAAACATCCTCTGCTGTGTGGTGGGAATCGTTCACTTCCGGGTTAACCGATTCCCTCTCTTCGCTCCAGCTCGTGTAACTTCCGGCGGAGTGACCGCGCCAGTTTGTTCCGATGTAGCTAGTCCTACGGATTACATGGATTACAACGCGTCCAAAAGCCGCCTGACGGGCGTCATCACGGAGAAGCTGAGCACGGCCGCCTCGGAGATCCTGGCGGACGTGGAGATGACTTTTGTCCTGTACGAGGAGGAGGTTTCGGGCTTGAGGGAGGAAATAGACCGTCTGAAGAGCCAACTGGAGCTGCTCCAGCCTCGGGTTAAAGAAGAGCCCACAGGTCGGTTATCTGCCCGGAAGCCTCGTTGTCAGCCAGGTTCAGCAGAAGTATATGATGTAGTTCCTGACGCCCTGCTGAAATTCAACCAAACTTTTCCAACATTAAGCCGAAACCAGCGAGCATCTCTTTGGCAGCTGCAGTAAAGCCGGGGAATTTTCTGTTTAATTTCTACAAAAATATAACGGAAATTTGTAGCAGTTTTGTAAAAATGCAACTGAAACATTTTAAATAGATAACCGCTCCTGGAATAACGGTTCCTATTCAAACGTTGCAGGTCTGTTTATTAGAAACACAGAGATGGTTAATTGGTGCTAAACAGCGACTCCTAGCGGAACCTGTGGGTAAATTATCTATCTATCTATCTATCTATCTATCTATCTATCTATCTATCTATCTATCTATCTATCTATCTGCAGAAACAAAATCATGTCTTTTTAATTTTCTTGTTTTGATTGTTAAAATTCTCCCATATTACGAAATGTTAATTTGGGGCAGTTCAGAGCATTTTTAGAAAACACTTTGTGGTGGGACTAGATTAATTTTTAAAATTGGGTTAATTGCAGGATCTGGAGGTAGGTAGGTAATTTTATTTATATAGCACATTTTCAGCAACGAGGCAATACAAAGTGCTTTACAGGAATTAAAAGGAAATACAAACAAAATAACAAACAAAAGGAAAGAGCAAAATAAAAAAATAATCTATTAATGTTGACCTAAAGCAGTGGTTCCCAAACTTTTTCTGGCCCCCATATGGATTACAAATAGGGAGAGTTAGAGTCTGGTAGTCTGGTTGAACGATGTGTCGGGGGTTGGGGGCGTAGAGAGATTCTTAGAGACTCCCTGTTATACTCTTCCATCCACTCGCACACAGCACACATTGTTTTGGTTTTTTATCCATACCGCTTCCTGCGGCCCCCCTGCAATGGCAGGGCCTCCTGCAGAAGTCCGATAAAGGTGTTCTTATCGGACTTCTCCGAAGGCATGATGTCCTTGGGAGCGCTCAGCTCCACAGCTGCACAGATAACAGGAGGGGATGAGGAGGAAAGAGCGTTATGTTTGCATATCTTCAAGGATATTAGAAATATGCAGCCCTTCCAAGGCCACACGGGGAAAGCCAATTCAGATACAGAATGTCTTCGGTGGGGAAGATTATAAATTTCAATCTTCCCTAAAGTCTCTCCGATACGTCTCGGTTCCCAATCATCTAAATTAGTTTGGTTGTTCCACTGAGCCGAAACTTTTCCAAAATTGATTACATCCCGTTAGTGAGTTTTAGAGTCCTCGTCTCTGTCCACACCAACAGTCTGAGTGTTCGCTAGTTCGGCCAAGTCCATCACAAATTTGTTGATAATCCAGGAATCCACAAGCTCCAAACAACAGAAATCCTTTTATGAATAAATCCAGGGTGAATCCCGCCAGGTGTGTCCCCGCAGGACAAGAGGCATTGCATTGAAAGACCAGTTGATCAGATCCATAATTTATAGATTTGGATGATGTTCAAAGAAAGACTCCAAAAATATAGAAAAAGAGAAAAAGACAGGACAAAAACAGAGCAAGCAGGGCAGAGAGGGGAGCAGAGGACAAACCGTCCGCTTTCACAGAGAGCAAGAGAGAATGTCTTGTAATAAACATTAACATTTTAATTAAAAATATATTAACGGTATTTTAATTTTTAAAACTGTTTTTGCTGCAAAATTATTGAATAAATTGACGCATGAGCTCAACAACAAAAATATTTTTGTTTTTAATCTGCTGAACGGACCACAGTTGGATCATTCTTGAGACACATTTGGGGGTCCGCACAAAATCAGTCCAAGGACCAAAAATGGCCCCCGGGCCGCACTTTGGACTCCCTGCAGTAAAATGCTTACAACGATATAAAAACGGGTCACGTCTCTGCTGCTGGTTTAGAAACGATTTAAGAGGAAAGAGAAGCAGATAGAGGCGACGGTTTGATCTGCATCAGACCGAGGTTAAACTCTGAGAAGGTCCTGATAACACACACACACACCTACACACACATTCACCTACACACACACACCTACACACACCAACACACACACACTGGATTATGTTCTATTGATTGAACTTTGTGTGTTTTGTGTTCAGTAATATTAATGATCATATTGATTTTTTCTGATCCAGACGACCAGATGCTGCTCCCTCTGTGTGGCGCTGAAGGAGCTGACGGATGGGGGGACGGCGCTGACGGATGGGGGGACGATGCGGGACAGAAGAGTCAAATAAGTACGACTTCATCAGACAGACGGATTTTATTTATAAGAAACGGCTTTGATATGTAAACCATTTAGAACACAGCATTAATACACAAATATCGTAATTATTAACTGTTTGATTTCACTTTACTATTTTTGCCTTTAGTTCAGTTAAATAAAACGAGAGCAAACATTTTTAAAAAGCAAACGTCTAACAAAAAAAATCCAACATAAATAGTTTTTATTTTTAAAGGGCCACAGTTTTATTTCCTACTTTTAGATTTTCAAATAAAGATGAACATTAAACTTGAAGGAAACCTTTGGCTATAGAATGCTGATTTTTGCAACAGTAAAAATGTAAAAAAAATGTTTAATAGTTTCCAACATAGTAACAAAAAATGGTTGCATAAATACATTTTTTTATTTAATTCTGTTCTGGAAATGTGTGCAATTATTCAAAGAATAAATATCTGTATTCTTTATGAAGTCATTTAAGTTAATATGAAGTTGTTTAAGCTGCAGTTTGCAGAAAGTTTTAGTTCTGTTGATTTTAACACACGTGAACGACCCACACAGACAACGTTCGTTATTTACCGGTGAAACGTCTGCAGAAGGAGAAACATGGCGAGCCGCGTCTCCAAGCCGCTCTGCGTGATCTGAAAACCTTCAGTTCGTCTCCTTCATGAGCAGGAAGGGGCTGAAAACAACTTCCTGCCCTCACAGCAGGGGGCTGTTCAGGTTGGGGACGAAGAACGGGAACCAGAAACTAAATTTACACCCAGACAGTTTTACAGCTGGAGAAGATTAAGACACCACCTGTAAAAACATGCTGAGGTTCAGGAATCCTGTCTTCACACCGTTTTAACAATTTCCTCCTCTGGATGAAAAACATCTAGTAACATAAAGCTGCTGATGTAAGACTGATAACAAAACAATAATTCAAACTGTAGTTTTATTTAATGAAGTCTGAAAACAAGTTTTATTTGTATTTTTTAATAACATTTTTCTTTTTAGTTTAATCATTTACAGATAACATGGAAAGTATTTTAAACATCTTTTAAAACTAATTTTAAGTTCATTTATATTTGCACATATATTTTTGACTTTTCATGTTTATTTTTTCTGTTTTACAAAATATACAAATTATTTTTTTACATTTTATGTTTAATTTATTCATATTTTGTTATTGTGGTTAGAACTTTTCTTTTTAGTTTGATCCTTTAAAGGCAACCTGAAAAACTTTTTTTTTTACTTTTTAATTAATTTATTTACATTTTTTGGGTTTTTCCTCCTTACGTTTTTTGTTTAAATTATATTTTTATTTGTTTTTTTAATTTTCTTAATTCAGTAGCTTTTTTATTCATTAACTTGCGTATTAACATATTTATTTTTGTAATAATAATCATCCAATGATCAATAAAAGCTGTAGAAACCCAGTGGAACACCACGTTTTATTAAATCATGATTTTGCTAATCGTATTACAGATGTTAGCTTCTGGTGATTCTATAATATTTTTCCATGTATTATAATTCTGTGGCTGTTGTTGCTGACTTGTGTCCAGAGCTGGAGGATCCTGAGACCCCGACGATCGTCTCCTACACCGGGTGGCTAACGGACGACCAGCACGTCGACAGGCCGGATCCTGACGAAGCCTCGAGGTCAGGAGGTTAAATCTTCCTCTGATGAAAACGTCTTTATCTGTTTCACTTTAAAAACTTTAAAAACTCTCCAGCAACCTGCAGATGGTGTCAGTAGTCTCCTGTCCAGATGGGTCAGTCTGTCCAGGTTTTAACTGTGTGTCCTTTGCTCAGGTTGACTGATGGGACCAATATGGTCGCCTCTCATCTCAGAAACCTGGAAAACTGTGTGGATCTTAAGATCTGCATCCTGACCGACTGGACCATTGAGGAGGTCTCAGAACAAGGTAGGGATGCTCTTCTTCCCCACGTTCTGTTTCTGGGCTGATTGCTCTGGTCTGAGCGGAACATGGCTGCCGTCTCCCCGCTCCAGTGGATGATCAGTACTCGGTTCACGAGATGAAGTTTCGCTCAGGGCAGCAGGAAGCCGACTTCTTGAAGCTGCTGAGGTCCTTCTTCCCTCTGCTGGCCCCCAGCACTCCCTTTGAGTTCTTGATCACCGACCCGACCAACCGGCTGCAACCTCTGGAGGTGCAGTCCTTCACACCGGAGCAGATCTGCAGCGCAGCGGGAAACTCTGCCCTCTACATCCGCCTGAAGGTACTGCACCCGACCATAAAGCAGAAAACTCCACTTTCATTGACCAACAGGTTGATCAGTGATGGAAAAATTAGAATTATAATGTTGGAATGTCACTGTAGCGTTAGCTTATGCTAACTACTATGTTGGTTAACCCTTTAGTGTTAGCTTGTGCTAACTGCTATGTTGGTTAGCCCTTTAGCCTTAGCTTGTGCTAACTACTCTGTTGGTTAGCCCTTTAGCGTTAGCTTATGCTAACTACTATGTTGGTTAACCCTTTAGTGTTAGCTTCTGCTAACTACTC